GTTACCTTGGCATCTCCATTTTTCCTTTTAATTGAAAGAGGCAAGCCAAAAGGAGGGATAATTTTTAAATTAAGCCTTTTGGTACCTCAGACATCTTCTCTGTCTGGCATGGAAAATTTTTTGACCCATCCTGTGAAGGTGTCTACAGATATCAAATACCTAATTTCCTAAGGCTCTTGGCATAACAGTAAAGTCTATTTAGTAATCATCTCCTAATTTTGTCCCTCAGGCTTGTACCCCTTTTGTTATTGGGGTTGGCCCAGTTTTATGATTGTTTCTGGTGATTAAGCAATTTCGTATTAACTTTTGCATGGTTCTTTGCCTTTGTGAGCCAACCATAAACTTTTGTAGCCAGCAATAGGTTGCATGCCTCCCATAATGGGTTCCTTGATGTAGGTGAGTAATATTGATAATTCTTTCCATTAAATACTTGGGTATAAGCACTAGTCCTTGCTCATTATAAGCTGGTTGTTTGGTACTGATCACCATCTAAGTCTCAAGAGTCAGCATGAAATCCCTATTTGTTTGCTCTCTCTAGATCCATCTCTAAATCCCGAGGCTTAAACACAGATGGATTCACACTCAGAATGAGTGCTAGGGCCTTAGGATCTGGGTTTTTGGTTCTGAGTGCCTGTTTTGTGACCTGATCAGCCAAATTATTTCCTTTAGCTATATATAGCTATCAGTCTTTTGGTGGCCTGGGCAATGTACTATGGCTACTTCTGGCACTGTTAATAGTCTAGTAAGGCCAATACCACCTCTTGAATGTTTAATATCTTTTATTCTTAATGTTAGCAGAACTCTTCTCACAATGGCCCCATGTAAATGCTCGATGGAGAAGACATAATTACAATCTATATAGATGCTTACCTTTTCTTAGCTCCAAGGTACAGGGCCCTCAGGAGGACTATGAGCTCTGCCTTCTGGGCAGATATACCTGGAGGAGGGTTTCTGCCTGTAGGACTTCCTAATGAGTTACTATTGCATACTCAGTCTTTCAGAGACCGTGGTCCATGAAGCTGTCCCCATCCATAATTATTTCCACATATGGATTTCTAAAGGCTGATCAGTCAGGTCAGGTCTGCTAGAATAGACTTCAATTGTCTGTATGGTATGGAATACCTTATAGCACCCCACAGTTCAGCTTAATGGCTCATTGTCATTTCTTTAACAGTCTCATACAGGCATTTGGCCATGAGTCCAAAGTTAGGGATCCAAGTATGACAAAACTCAGCCGTTCTTAAGAATCCTCATAATCGTCTCCTGGTGGTGGGTATAGTCACCCTAGCTAATGCTTCCCTTTGATCCAGCAATAAGTTTCTTTGTCCTTTTGATAACTCAAATCCTAAATATTTTACAGCTGGTTGAGAAATTTGTGCTTTTTCCCTTGGAGACTTTATATCCTTGATGTGCCAGAAAGTTTAAAGTGTGGATTGCATTTTGGTCTGAGGCTTCCTTAGTTTCACTAGCAATTAGTATCATCTACATTAGATTAAGACTTCCTCATTTAATTGGTGATCCTTTATGTCCTTGGCCAAGGCTTCCCCAAAGATACTGGGGGCATTCTTAAATCCTTGGGGTAGTACCATTCTACAATATTGTTATTTTATATTAGCTTCTGGATCATCCCACTCAAAAGCAAACAGTTCCTGGGACTCAGGACTTAGAGGCGTGCAGTAAAGGGGATCTTTTAAGTCCAGAACTGTAAACCAGCAAATATCTCCAGATAAAGTTGTAAGCAAAGTATAAGAATTCGGCACCACTGGATGTATGTCCTCTACTATTTGGTTAATGTCTCTCAAATCCTGTACAAAATGATGATCTCAAGTCCCGGATGTTTGTATTGGAGGGATTGGAGTGTTACAGGGATTGACAAGGTCAGATAAATTGACATTTAAAAAAGGTGGTTGGGCTTCCCTGGTGGCGCAGTGGTTGAGAGTCTGCCTGCCGTTGCAGGGGGCACAGGTTTGTGCCCCGGTCCGGGAAGGTCCCGCGTGCCACGGAGCGGCTGGGCCCGTGAGCCGTGGCCCCTGGGCCTGCGCGTCCGGAGACTGTGCTCCGCAACGGGAGAGGCCACAGCTGTGAAATGCCCGTGTACCGAAAAAAAAAAAAAAGGTGGTTATCAGAGGCTTTACCCATTCCTTCAAATGCCTCTTTAAAAGGTATTGCTTTAAATTTGAAGCCCTGGTTCTTGAATGGAGTTTTACTACTACCAGGTTAGCTGTCTTGACTCTTACCAAACATCTCCTCTTACCTTTTGTAAAATTTCATCAGGGACTTCTGGCTGAGGCTTGTCTCCCAATTGTACTAGCCCAGCTTGGAGGTTATAGCCTTGATCTGAGAGTACTTAAATGTCTACTTTTTCTGGTGAGAAAGTCATTGAATTTTGTTAGATCTCACCCCAACAAGGAAATTGGGCATTCAGGCACATGCAGAAAGCTTTACTTTAACTTTTTTCCCAATTATATAGATGAGAAGTAAAAAACACAGAGTGCACATATACAAATCCCCTTTGTTGACCTTGGTCATCTAGACCTGTGGAACTTAATTCAAGGGATATTGCCTTCCTGAAGCAGAGTCCCCCCTGGGCTGAATTGAGTACCCTGGGGAAGGGAGACTGCACACTTTTGACTATCTGATAAGTAAGGATACAGGACTAGGACCAGACCTGTAGCCCTAGGAGGATTGTTGATATAAGATTTGGTACTACTTGTAGGGATTCCCCCTTCATGCAGTAGAAGAACCATGGGAGGCACTGAAGGAGAAGCCAAATGTACTAAGTTGAGATCATCATTAAGCTCTGAATCAGCCCTGACAGGCTTTTTCTGAGGGTCTTCCCTCTGAACCATAATTTTACATCTCTTCTGCAAATTCTTATTCCGCAAAGAAACTTAGAAAAACCAGTCAAGGTCAAATGTTGTGAGCCCACTACTTGTACTTGCCTACTCTCGATCCAAGGGAATTTGATAACCACAGTGCAAGGCAGAGCTGATGGTAAGCCAGCCCAGAGTTCTCCACCTGGGACTCCATCCTCTGAAGGAAAACAAGTGAGTAGTGAAGCTGAGCTCTGCAGTTGGATGACTGGATTTCTTCCACTGTAGTGCTCAAAATAGTTTACTCCTTGGCCAGCTAGAACACGGAAGAGACTTGAACAATTGCCTTTAGCAAATGCCTGCCACCTCTTCCCAGCCTTCATGGATTGGGCCCAATGTCAATCAGCAGTCTTATTGGAAACTCGAGGTTTGTGTGATGCTGCAATGTTGGCTGCACCTGGAAAACTTTAGCATTCGTGAAAGATGAAGGAGAGCAAACCAAGGTTTGCAAATCTGTGGCTCAGAGCACACTTTGTTCCCTTGTGGGAATCACCTGGGCACGCTAGTGGCTTGTCCCCTCAACTACTGTCCACCTCAATGCTGGTTGTGAGGGGTTTTCCGGCCCGTGTGAGAATAGGTGTTGAGAGAGAGAGGGAGGGAGAGAGAGAGCCCTAGCCATAAACCCCTAAGTCAAAGGCTTAGTCAATATCTGAGGTTTCAAACCCAAGAGCTAAGAACAGTCTATGGATTGCAAATTTCTAGAAAATGGCCTTCCCTCACTCCCTCAAAAAAGGCAGAGGGAAATCAAACAGCCTCAAGAGAAAACAAGACCCTTAAGATTTAGAAAACAATTCCATCTCCTAGTTTGGTTTCTGGGAAGAAGCAAAGGCAGTAGTGTAAACAAGTCTTACAACTTGGCTGTAAGAATTCCCTGGAGGAGCCACAGTGGAGAATGGACAGTCTCAAAGGTGACTAGCCCAGCCTGGATTTGAGGGTTCACAAAGGGACCACTGAAATGCTATCCATTAGAGATGGTTGTCAAGAACTGTAGCCTGAAAGTCACACATGCTATTCAGTTTCCAAGGAATCTGTCCAAGCAGTTCCAAGATTGTAGCCAATTTGGTCACAGGCTTTTAATAGTTTCCTTGCCATGGGCTGAAGGCAGGCTTGCCTACTGCAGAGGGGCCTCTGAATGTCCAGGCTCTGCCTCAGTGACCACCTTGAAAAACTTACTTGATGAAGAGGAGGGTAGAAGACGGGACAAAAGCAAAGTGAGGAAGCTGTCTTAGAACTGGATTTGAGATAGGAATTCAGGAGTCTACAGGTTGAAATACTGAAGTCCTCACTTCCTTTCTGAGCATGTTGGGATTTAATATTTCTGATAGATGACCAAAACATTTTACCTCCATAGCAGAGATCACAGACAAACTCATCTAGATGTCTGGGCAACTTCCAGGTAGAATACATCCAGGCTAAGGCCCCCATACAGCCCATGACCTTTAGCACCACCAATGTTCCAGGGTTTGTTCCTCCTGGCAAACTTTCCTTTTTAACATCACACACACACACACACACTTGAGAACAGTTCAATGCTAACTTCCTGCTAGTTTGGCTCATATAAAAAGAATAGTTAAAATGATCCGTGAGGAAAAATCCAAAATATGTCCAATTGTACAAAATTCATTTAACCCAGGCACAGCCTATGTTCTTTTGGGGTAGAGAATGTTCATGCTTGACATTCCCTCTTTTCTCCTTTACCCTCTCACCCAGCAAGGTAATCAGGGCTGGTTTTATTAAGGATACACACCTGCATCAATACTGCCAGGCAATTATATTAGGCATGGATAACCTCTCCCCCACAACAGCTCCATAAGGCAAGGTTTCCAGCAAAGCCTTTTATCTCCTCAGTCAGAGAGCCCTCAAGAATATCAGACCCAATAATATTTTGCTACAGTCATCCAAGAGCCAACCCTATTATCCAATCCTAACAAATAAAAGAGACACAGACAAAGAGACCCAAAGGCCTGAGACTCTAACCCAGGGTTTGGGACAGTAACCTGATCATTTGAGTACCTCAGCGGCCGCAACATTTTATGTTGTCTCCCTTAGGGTGGGACTCTAACCCACAATCCTGAGGAGGTTATTAGACAATTTAGGCACAGGCGCGTTTTGACAACGTTAACTCACCAAAAGACGTCTGATCCAGGAGCTGTTTCTTCTCTAAAAAGTGAAAGTAGCACAAAGAGCCTGGAGCACAGCAGCAGGGAAGCAGGAACCTCACAGCCGACTCCCTGGACAAAGTTGGTCTAGGTGGCCATTCAGGGTTGGTGGCGACGGCCCATACTTTGCCGGGAGCTACAGTGCCTGGGGCAGGCAGTCGCAAGACCTAAGTCCCTTTATGATCACCAAAGTTGTCCCCAAGCAAGGTCTCACTGCCCGAGGTGCGTAGAAGCCAACACTAAGGCATTGGCTTTTGAGCTAAGAGAGAACTTTATTGTGAGGTCAACCAGCAAAGAGATAGAAGGCAGGACTCTCAAAACTGTCTCCCTGATCCAGGGTTCTGGGCAAAATTTAAGGAGTTCGAGGAATTTCAAACTCGGGAGTTGACTGGCTAGTCTCCAATCAGCCCATATAAGCTACTCCTGTTGCTGGAAGCCAGATTTTCCTTACTGAAGCACTTCTCCCTTCGTAAAGGGCTCCGGTGGCAACATTTCTATTCCTAGGTTCCGTAGATTGAAGGTTCTTGGTTCCAGGGTCATCCTAGAGACAAGGGTTCCTGTCTTGCACATGTGCAGTGCTGTGTCTGTAAAATGACCCCAGGTTTCATTACTCAACAATCTATTTTAAGAAAGCAAAACCAGTTTAAACTGATCAGTGTTTTAGGTGCTGTTTCAGTTTTGTTTCTTGATCTAAGTTCAGCCCCTTCATGTTACCATGTCACATAAAATGACTTTCAAAAGGCCCAAATATTTGTTCATGTTTTTATTGATTTATTGATTCCCAGTGTCAGCCTACTCCAGTTGGAGCCTTTACCAGCACCAGGAGCGGCTGTTTTGACTTCACTTGTCTCAGTCCTACATTGTGGCTGAAGCAATGAGACCAAGTTTTGTAATATCTGAAGCTCCTTCCCACTGGTTAATGAAATAACCTACAGTCATCCCTTCAAATCCCGGTTCTCCACCCACAGATTCAACCAACTGTGGATCTAAAATATTTTTAAACATTCTAAACAACAAGGATTTACTGTTTAGCACAGGGAACTATATTCAATATCTTGTAATAACTTGGAAAAGAATCTGAAAAAATATATATATTTAACTGAATCACTTTGCTGTACACTTGAAAGTAACATAAATTGTAAATCAACTATACTTCTTTAAAAAAAAAATCCAGAAAGTTCCAAAAAGCAAAGCTTGAATTAGCTTTGCTTTTTGGCAACTATTTACAAATTATTTACATTTAGGTTCTGCAGCCTCTACAGAACCAGAAATTTCCTTAGGTCTTATGGTCTTTACACTTCTGGTCCTTCCCTGGTTAGCTTTGATACCTCTATGACAATTAGATGCTTAGAAAGGAGCATTTTCAGAGAATTAAGAGAAAATGTCCATACAGGATCAAAGCAAGAGACCTGAAGTTCCTAAACCTCTGGTCTCATCAGCCTCCCAACCTATGCGCTACCTACTGTCTTGCTCCTATACTGTCTAGATTTGTGGGGTGGGAGGGGGAGGCCAATACTTTTCAACCATGATTTGTCCCATGAAATCCTTTGACACAGATATATCTCCTTTTTTGGAACCAAGAATTAGAAATGTCATTAGTTCCACAGTCAAAATAAGAGCCAGTTGGGCTTCCCTGGTGGTGCAGTGGTTGAGAGTCCGCCTGCCGATGCAGGGGACACGGGTTCGTGCCCCGGTCCGGGAAGATCCCACATGCCGCGGAGCGGCTGGGCCCGTGAGCCATGGCCGATGAGCCTGCGCGTCCGGAGCCTGTGCTCCGCAACGGGAGAGGCCACAACAGTGAGAGGCCTGCGTACTTCAAAAAAAAATAATAATATTAAGAACCAGCATTGGCTGACCTATTGACCATCTTCTCTAGCTTCTTGCTGTGTAACCTATTGGAACCAAGTCAAGAATTTCTACAAGTCACGTGTCCAGTCAGCCATGGAGAAAGTCCAGATACTTTAGGGAGATGGTAAGATTCTAGAATTAGTGCACCCAAAATGCATTGCTATGTATAATATATATAGTTTATACACTGAATAAAAAGGTGGCTCCTTGACTTTTGTTGTTTTTATTATGATCACTGCAGTAGATTATTTTCTTTCTCTTTGATTTAATTGTTTTGATTCCCCTAAGAGTGAACAAAAAAAGTTTGTGAAATTAAATCTGTCTATAGAACTGGGATGAATTTATTGTCCTGTAGCATAACTGTGAGCTCTAATTAGTGACTTTCCATGGCTATGAGAATATTTTTTTCCCTTTGGTACCCAACATGAATAAAACGATTCCCCCAAAAAATTTCGTGTTAGTAAGAGACATTCTGTATATGACCAGACAGCTGCTGTTTTTCTTAATCAAATATAGCCTATGATGCCCAGAACATAATAGGGCTTGAAAAAGCCATAATTATAGAAACCTCAGTAAGTAGAAGTACATGTACATCATACCTCAGTAACAGATTTTAACAACTTGCATACTATTAAGCCATGTTACATGCCTAATAAAATGCATGGGAAAATAAAAAAGTTCTTGATTAGTTAATAAAAAAATTTTACTATGAGTTACACTCATTTCTGAAGCAAAAACTATATTTATTATATATAATTTCAGCTGTAAATGCTTGGCATTTTGTACAGTTGTATGAATTTGATCTGTGTATAAGAATAAATAGATGTCTGTCTTAATCTAAAGTTTATTTACTTTTGGTTGTCATTCACACAGATACATTCATTATCAAGAAAAGCTTTTATGAATGAACTGAAGTGATCAATATATTCCATTAATAATCTTTAAGCATACACATACATCCAAGGTATGAAACTAACTAAATATATATATATTTTTTCTTTTTTAAAAGACTTAAACAATATTTGTGTTTTTAGTTTGAAACATTTATTTTTTTTAATTTTTTGGCTGCGCTGCTTGACATGTGGGATCTTAGTTCCCTGACCAGGAACCGAACCCTCGCCCCCTCCAGTGGAAGTGCAGAGTCTTAACCTCTGGACTGCCAGAGAAGTCCCCAACCATATTTTTAATAGACTTTACATTTATTGATTTTTTTTTTTGTTACCATGTCTCTCTACTTGGCCTCTGTTTGTAAGAAGAAAGTGGAGGTTTCCCCAAATATGCTGCTTATCACCAAATCCTTATGAATATGTAAGGTTTTTAAAATGGTAAGCTCTCGAATGACCACTGCACTGCCCCTTAAACATCTGCAAAAATTTGAGTAATTCTTACTTTTTTTGCTTTTTATTATTAGATAATGTTCATCATATTAGGATAAGAAAGCTATTTCTTAGCAAGTTTTCTATAGTGTGCCAGATGGAACCAGAGATTAGCTGGTATGAAATGATAAATTATAACCACCTTAATCAAATATGATTTTTTAAAATTGAGCAAGTATGAGTAAAATGACATTTATCCAAATGAAATGGAATAGTTTTTCCATTGTCCTTCTATTTTTTATGTTCATAAATATGTATAATGTAGGTAATTCATTTTTCCAGTTTTTCTATTGGAGATTTAATTAAAATATGTTTCATAATTCTACCATTTCTATAACCATTATTGGAAAAATTTTAATTCATAGCTACTTATTGAAACTTTAAAAAATATTTAGGCCATATATAATAAGTGATTGCAGACTTTCACTCTATGAACATTATATATTTTATTGATCTAGTTTTATGTTTATAGGTTACCTGTCATTTCACTATAAGCTAATAGTTTAGAAATTTAAAGTGATTATTTTTATAAATATGTTTTCTGATTATAAAACTAATACATGCTCACTGGAGCAAAGTAAACTACACCATAGAAAGAATCTTACATATTTTGATCATTTATGGATAATCAATATTAAAATTTTGCTACATATCTTTCTAGAATATGTATGTATATATATAATGTATAAACATACACATTATAAAATCATTACAAAAAGTTTTATAAAGAATGTTCATAATTATATATTGATATAATAAACAATATCACTTTTAATTATAGCATATGTTTCACTGAATAAATAAATCAAATTTATTTAATGCATCATCTACCATTGAATATTAGTTTATTCTCAATATTTTATTATTATAAGCAATACTGTGATGGACAGTCTTGTACATCTATCTTTGTATATATGTACATTTGCAGAGGATAAATTCCTAGAAATGTAATTCTTGGATCATACATTATGTGCATTTTAAATGATTTTTGTCTCCATTATTCTTCTGAATATCTATAGAATTTGACAGAGGAATTCCGCCCTTTCACATTAAGCATTAAAATTCATTTAAATCTTCAAAATTATGAAAGGGAAAACATGGTATCATCTTTAATTTGCATTTTTTAGTTACCAGTGAGGATGATTATTTTTTCTTACGTTTTGGTAAGACCAGATTCTGTAAGTTTCACTTAATTATATTTTAATATATTTTAATATCTGGTAGTACTCAATGTTAGTTTTCTTTCAGAAAATTTTGGGCTATTTTCTCTTGTTGATGATGTATGTCAAAGCTTTCTGAGATGGTGCACTTGTTTTTATATGGATGTTTTCAGGGGAAATGTCATTTCTGTTGCTCATGTTCTCCATGTGCATTTAATAAACAAAATGTTCAGTTCAATTATCTCTTAGTGTTGTCAGTATTCCAGAATAAGCTATAAAATTGTATAGAAAAGAAATGTCCCTTTTACCTATGCTAGATGTATCTGTGTAGATTTACATGTCTGTTACTACTTTGAAAACCTGTTTCCTTAGTGCTACACATCTGTTTTCCTTTGACTCAGCTATTTTTTCTTTTATTCTTTCTTCCCTCATTTCTTTTCTTCCTTTCATTCTTACTTTTCTTTCTGTCTTTCCTTCCTCTTTCTTTTACATTTTAAATATCTATAAAAATGGATAATGCAGGGTATTGCATTCACATACAAATAAAAACTGTTTTATTTTTCATAAACAAATTATTATTTAACTGAATTATTTCAAAATACACGAAATGTATTAAAAGTATACCTAAATCAGCATATTAATTATGTTCATAAAGAGCACTGATACTGTAAGTTGAAATATTTCATATAAGCAAAATATATTAAGTAACAACTTGATTCTTTTCTAGAGTGAAATATCTTTAACAACAGAGTAAAGATTCAAAAGGCAATTTTTAAAAGATAGGTTAAAAAATTATTTAATAAAACCTTGGCCATTTAGCTATCTTTTGCAACTTGTAATTTTATGGTTTGTTTTTTTTTTAAATTGAAATATAGTTGATGCACAACATGATGTTAGTTTCAGATGTATCAATACTACATAGTGGCTTGACATTTACATACATTACGAAATGATCACCATGATAAATTATCTGTTCCCATACTATTACTAGAGTATTATTGACCATATTCTTTATGCTGTATGTTATATCCTCACAGCTTAGCTATTTTATAACTGGAAGCTTATACCTCTTAATCCCCCTCACCTATTTTGCCCAACCCAGCATCCCCTCCCCTCTGGCAGCCATCCATTTGTTATCTGTATCTATCAGTCTGTTTTTGTTTTCTTTTGTTTTGCTT